AGTTTGCCTCAAATCGTGAATTCTGTCATTTTGAAATTCTTAATGATAAAGTCAGAACACACAAAGAATCTGTCCAGATAGTTCAGTTAAAAAATACTTGCTGACATGCATGTATACCTGTGATGAATACCAAACCATAAACAGGAAAAGTTCAAGGGACATATTTTGACTATAGTAGTTTTTAAAACTCCATGCTAAATAAAGAGAAGGAACGTGCATCGTTTCTGTGAGAGTTTGCTCCACAGAGTTGAAATATTACTTTATCGCGACTTGCCAGAAGTTTACCTGAAGCATTAATTAGTACTACAGGACTCATAGTAGTCAGATCACTATTATTTCTATGGTGAGTGTTCAGCTTTAATATTCCTCTTACATACCCATAGCTTGTCTGTGTGACAGAGCCCTTATTAACTGTATTTCTTGCAATATTTCAGCTGTAAAAATACAAGTGCACTGTCACTTAAATTATTCTCATGCCAGTGTTTGGTTAGCCTTTGAGGAGCCATTATACAATATCTATGATTTTGGTCTGTGGTATTTAAAGTTTGTAAATGTATTAAAAGAATTGAGAGAAGCAGCTAAAAGAAACATAGGCTATTACCTGTTCCCCCCCCCCCAGCTCTGTGTAGAAGGTTTGCACAATTATTTAATAATCTGAAACATGTTATACTTTATATATATAAAAAAATATGCTTATTTAATAAAACTGAGAGCCATTGGATTATTTGTTTCTAGCTTTTTATTTTGTAATCCTCTTTAGGCGAGAGTCCCTTCTTCACTTTTTAAAAATCAAAACACTTATGTTTCTTCTCTCCAGCCATTCCCAACTCCCCCCCGCCATTTTCAAGCCTGCCCCCCCACACCAGTAACACTTTGTTTAAAATTCATGCCATTACTATGGCTTCTTCTCAACTCTTGCTGTTCTTTTTTCAAAGCATCTGGCAGTTTTGTGCTTTTCTACAAGTCATCCACAGCACTGGATTTAACTATTTTATTTGACTCTGCAATTAGATCAAAGACCAGGATTTCTATTCTATAATTCACTAGGTGGGGTAATGGCAGATACACAGGGCAGTAACTACAGCTGACAAAGAAACTACAGTAACACATGATTTTACCAAGTAAACCTTTACCAAAGTGGAAAAAGGTTACATACAGCACAGTATTTGCCAGCACCACACTTTCCTTTTTGAACTGTTACGCTTGCTTGCATCAACACACCTCAGAAGTACCAAAACAATAATTTAAGTAATTTCATTCTCTACCAACTACAGTAATAAAAGAACAAATCCTCTTCACTCAAAATTTCCTAAATAAGCTTGAGGAGCTGCTGGGTAAAAGGAGAAGTTTCTAAAAATACTAGAAAGGAGAAGGGATTACACGAAAAATCCCTCCTAACAGGAAGAGAGGCTTGTTTTCTTTTGCATTAGCACTGCTTGTTTTCAGAGAAGGAAATGTACAACATGTCTTCCATTTTAAACAACTTTGGGCTGTCTGGTAAAGAGTAACTGCAGTAGAACAGGATGACAAAAAATTAGAACAAAGAAATAATACTTACATTATGGACATTTAGCTAAGCCTTTACTTGACAGCCAGCCCAAAGCATCCATGAAGCTGCTGTTCTAAACTTGCAACTCAATCCTATCCAATGTACTGCTGAAGTTGTACGTCCCTTTTTGTGTCTCTTCCTACAGAAGATTAGCACATAACGTCAGCAGTATTTCTGCAGTAATTGCACGAGCTCTCAGCAAAGACCACAGTATTAGTAGCAACCTCAGCAAAATGAACAGAAGTAACATCAAGTAGAAAACTTTAATTAAAACCAGATGATACTGGCCTCAAGACTATCACTTGAAAAAATGGTGAGAAAAAAATTTTCGAAAACAGGTATGCACTACAGTGCGTTCAGCCATGCTATAACTAGGCTCGATCCCTGAAGCTTCATGTGAAATCCTAGCTAGATGAAAACTGTAGCACAATCTTAGCCTGGCAAAATTGTGCAAACTCATACAGGACAATTATCAGCATCACTGAAACAGGAAGGGCTCAATAGTCTGGCTAATGAGGACCAGAAGACACTTTCCAGAATACCTGAGTGAAAAAGGAAAAACAGGATCCAGAAAGAAGGCTTGCCCTCAGTCAGTTGTATTTACTAACCATGAAAAAAAATTAAGGAACACTGAGGGATTCCAAAGCACTCTTAACTGTATTTGGCAAACATCAACTAGAGCTACAAGTTCATGATATTGGTTAAGCAAGACAATGGTTAGTACACATGGAACTTAAAACACAGCGCCTTTATAAAATACTGATTTTACATGGTAAAAATCAGCAAATCTTCACAAAAAAAAAAAAAAATCCTGGAGCGGATATTTCCCCGTCACCATTACTAGTTCTTCCATGCCACTTATCTTGTGCAATACTGAAAGCCGCAGAGCACTCTGCTGTCTTAGAAAAGTTGAAGGCCACTTTTTATTTTATGGAACTCATTCTGGGTCCATAACAATCCTCCTGTCACAGGAATATTCAATTCTGCAGAGCTGTGAGAGGAAGAGAAATAAAGCACATAAGCACTGAGCTGATTTAGAAGCTCACATCACCAAAGTAATTTTAAACTTGTTAACGAGTTTTACTTCCAAAGCAAGATGTCATTTCTCATTTTTAGCTCTTAACATTTAGCTGCTGGAATGTCCTTAGTTTTTAATCAGTTCGTTCAAGAGAGGCAACAGCCCTGAGGTGCCAAAGGTACCAAAGCACAAACCAAAGGCAAGGTTACCAGTTACTAACAGTTGTGAGGGAGACATGACTTCAGAAATAACCACACAACAATTTTCATCTGAACCTTCATCTGTCCTTTGCAGCTAGGAACACAAGCTGATCAGGTGAAAGGCTAACACAGCAAGCAGTCGACATTTAAAACAGTCTGTCACAATTTACACGTGTTACAATGCCTATACATTCTGCACATGGAAACGAGCCGTTCCTACAGCTTTACAAAGAAGTCACAGAAACTAGTGCATTTACAGAGACTTTAAAGGAAGTTGTTGTTTGGTGAAACCCACAGCACACTAAGTAATTTCTAATTTTAGAAGGTGGCTCACTCAAACGGGCGTAAGAAGTTACCCGGTTAGGGCTGAGTCCCAGGAGGTCCCCCAAACAACGGCCCATTTACGTGACTGGCTAACACAGCATACAAAGGAAAACGTAAGATTTTACATCGTGTTCCCAGACATAAGGCACTGTCAAACACAAGGCTCAAAGAACAGTTGGAGAGCCCATGTAAACCCTCCCCTCCCCAAAGATCTACTATGTGAAGGACCTTAAGTAACTACCGTGTTGTTAAGTAGGTCAGCTAAGGGTTTATAATTTTTATTCATTTTATGAGAATGGTGAAGATGAAAGCTAAATTTTATCAATAAAACAAATCTTTAAAGGATCCACTTGAAACCTGGTATCTGACACTGTGAAGGAGAGAAAGGGAAAATCTGATCATCTTGTGCATGTTTTCACTTTCTCTATTCCTTATGCTCACGAAGAGCACATGCACTCCTAGCTACAACCGAGCATCCTCCAGGCTAAGAATACACCGCCTACTCACTGTCTTTACCCTTCAGTGCCTATTAACCATTCTTCTCACCTACCTGCTTATGCATCTCATCCTTAGGACAAAAAAAATCCAGTCATTATCCATGACCATTAAATGACGAGTCCCATTTCTGAAATGTCAGTGCAAACGCTTGATGCAATCCCTAAAGCAATTGCATGTCAGCAACTCCACCCTCAGAGAACTCTCCAAGTGGTCATTACTTGCCAAGTTTGCCCCTGCTGTCAGGTAAAACTGACACTGGAAGTAAACAAAAAGCACATATTCTTATCACAAAGAACAGAACTTCTGCCTGAGGGTGACGGCAGCTACTCAAAGCTTCAGAGGTTGCCACAGCAACACTAAACACAAACTTTGACAACACACATACGTAGCATACACCAGAAAACCCACCAAAGAAGCAGGGACCAGGGAAGAAGGAACTGCAAGCTTTTCCAAAGTATCCAAGCATCACAGGAACTTACATCTCATGTTGAAACAAACCCAAAAACCTCTGAAGACAGAAAATAATTTCTGCAAACAAGACTGAGATGTTTGGAAAGTTTTATTTATATAGCAACTTCAAGCTATACACCGAAAAACTCGATGCCTTTTCCAGATGTTCAGTACTGGAATAACTGGCTATATGGCAGAGGCTGCTGCTCAGAGCTCCTCAGAGACAGATAATCTTTCCTTTAAGGTCAAAACACCTCTTAGACACTCCCTGTTCAGATGAAACACACAAAGCCAACACAGAAACATCACAGCTATCACAGCCAGTGGAATGACCCCGATGCTCTTCCTCTGGCTGTTGGAAAACACCCTGAATTCAGCCTAAGTGGATGATTTTTCCCCTCTTGTGATGTATACTCCTCATCATTCATGACTTCACAGACCCGCTGTCGTTCCCAGGACAGGGACTCCGGACAGACACCGACATCATTCTCTGCCTTAACTGTACTGCACGAAGGCTGCCAAGAGCAAGCTCATGACCACAGATCAACCACTCTTCAGGGGGGATGAAACCAGACTATAACCAAGCAGAGTAATAGCACTGTATTACTTGGGATTCAAGGGAGAAAGTGCCTTCTCCATAATCAGTGCTACTTTGTCCCCCAGCCACTTGCTTGCCACTAGTTTTTTCAAATAGCATATCTGCAAAGACAGCTAAATACATGCAATAGACTGCTGCCTCAAAATTCACTGGTTTTGGCTGGATTCAGCTCTTTTTGAACTATGCTGCTTCTCTGAGATTCAGGCTGTTTGTTTTGGAAACAGCATGCTTGTCTTCAGGCAGATCTGATGGCAAACCAGAGAAACTGTGTGTAAAGGGTTCCACAAGAGGCCAAAACTGTGTGATAAGTGGCAGGCAGAAAAACAGGAGCAGGGAAAGAACAAAAAATGACTTATTCAGCAACCTTGTGGGGGAAAACTGTGGATAGCTGGGCTGTTGCTTTCAGCACAGGGGAGGCATGTTCTCCAATTTTCTGAATGTCCAGAAACAACAACAAAAGCAGAAAAAGAAGTGAAACATAGGAATTGAGATGGGCTCTTGACTGTCTCTCAAGATTGAGTTCATCTTTAAAAGGGAAGGGAGGTTGTCAGCTGAAACTTATTTTTCCTGGTATGTAATCACGTTTTGCTACAGATTCATAGAACTATTTAGTAAGAAGCACAGGCCTCAAACAAGGCAGTCAGAATCCAGGCAGATGTTAAAGAACATAGATTAAACGCATTGTAAGATCACCAAGATCACCATTCTCATCTATGGACCTGGTGAATCAGGGCTGCAGCAAGAGGTTCTGCTTCTGTTACATGACATGTCCAAAGGCCTTTTTCCAAATTAATGTCAAACTCCATGCTCCAGGAAACGCCTTCTGCAGTTCATTAACCTTCTTTGCTTTAAGTCTGTGGGGCCAGACAGAAAGATGAAGATGGCCACGGCTTTTAGAAAGGGCGTGTCCCATTGCATATGCTGCAGATGCTTTTTCCAAGCATCTTATGGATATTTTCAAAGTAAAGCGTCAAATTTTCAAAATCTGTCATACCATACTGCAGTACCCCTACGTTGAGCCCGGCAGAGCAGCTCTCTGCAGGTAGAGAAGTTGGAGGGCAGTATCAAATAAGTAGTAAATAGCAAACACCCCTTCTGGAACAGTCCATACAAACCCCTTTTGACGGGGAAGCAGAAAACCCATGTAGCTGCAAGAGAGTGGACAAAGTTTCTACATAGAAGAATGCATGAAAAGTAGCCAAGAAAATCTGTTCCTCTCTGCTTCTGGGCAAGTCAGACAACCTTTCTGATGCCACTGCCTTTGGCAAACAGAGCAGCTGCTACGCAAGGGAAACAAGAAGAATGAACAAGCTGCCGTTGTAACACTCCTGATGGAACTCCGATTGTTTCCGGGAACAGCTACAAGAGTTCATCAGGTTCTGCTCCTTTTTATTTGTGGTAACAACAGGTTTTCCTCATGTTTCTGAGCTTTTTTCCTTGGCTTCCTGCCAGGCTGTGATCTCAGTGGCAGAAACTGTCTGCCCCTTTCACCCAAAGAGATGCAGAAATGTGCTCCTTTGGCCTGGTATGTGCTTTTTCATTTTCTGCCTGGGCACTTTTTAGCAATACGAGCTGCATGACACATTACACTGTTCAAAAAACAGCCAACCAGAAGCAGCACATGAGGAGAAAAAGAAAGCCACCTCCTTGGCTGAATATAGATGGAAACTCTTGCAATTGCTCCTCTCTGTGTCTTAGGCCACACGGAAAGCAATTACTGGGGGCAGAGGGGAAAGCAACACCTGCTGGCTTCTTTCAGAGCCTGCACAACGAAGCACTGAAATCTGTACGTCTCGCTTGCAACTTTTTAGTTTGCAATCAATATACAATCAGTCCTCACCATAACTAAATCAGATTTCAAAATGCAGTCTGGGCATCTTCCTCCAAAGGAACCTAGTGCTACTGATAAGGGAAGGAAACATTAACTGGTCAATTAGTTTGATCTAGACCATTGCAGAATTTATTCTGCCAACACGAGACACAGACTTTTCTTCTGACAGATTATTTGCTGCTTGTGACCCACTTGTTGAAATGGTTTACTGGCAGGCCTAGAAAGAAGTCTCAGTCACGGAGGTGAAAGGACAGCATTAATACTTGCTAACCTATGAGAACTCTACCATTTAATGAAAAATGGGGGGGGGGAGGAAGAAAAATCACATGCAGCAACATTTAAGATACCGCTTCTAACTGAAATGCATTAATTAGGTGTCTTCAGCTAAATGTCCTTTCTTCCATCTCAACAAATGGTACTGGCAAACCACAAGGCAAACAGTATCAGGCAGTTGAGTATCAGAAAGCATCTACCACAAGAAGCAAGCAAAGTATGTCATGCCATTGGAATGTGTGCAGATAACCAAATTCAACTGCAAACACAGTCATAAAATACACTGGACTAGGGAAGAACAGATAAACTGGTCATCCTAATCCCCTTTGCAACAGACAAGTAATTTCCAGAATTGTATCTTGCACTTCACCTTGAAGCTGCCTCCATATTCCCTGTATTCCCTTGCTATCTTCTTGGATTCCAACTGTCTCCTCCTATCATTTCCTAATAAATCCAGGAACCTCTGTCTCCTGCCAGGAATTAAGCCTTCTCCAAATTAAAAAAACCCCCAAGCTTAACACTAATTGCTTCCATTCAAGGAAGAGCCCAACAGCTGTGTTCTGGTAGCACAATTCAGCTTTTGCAGTGCACCACACCACTACTCACTTGAAAAGCCTGTATTAAATCTGTAACAGTACAGAACAGTGTAGGCAAAATACTGCCATGGGCTCAAATGAATGCGGATGTTAGAGAATGTTTTGAGCCTAGCCTCAGTTTGTTTGCCAGTTTAGGAATAGACAGAGCTTAATGTCAAAACCAAAACTTTCTTGCTCGATACGAGACAACCCAGGGCAGGTAG